ACAACCATACGTTATTGACTCAGACTGATTAGAAATTAAAGCACCAACCCCAGAGGAAATTTCACAAAGAAACCAGGATGTGTTTGGGTTCTCTGTATTCCTAAACTCTTGGTCATTATTAGGAAAGACAAGCAGAAAAACTACCAAATGCTTTTGTAAGGTCCCCTTCTTTTTAAAAAGTTATCATTGACAAAAGTTGCATGTGGGAAGCTAGGATAGTATATTGAAGAATAATAAGAAATTTTGCCTCTTTTTTTTTCCATTACGTTTATTGGTACATGTTAGGTATACAATACAATGGCATTCATCATTGGGATCTTGTACCTTTTCATGATATATCTTGGTTCTTATTTTTCCCCATTCCCCTGCCCTTCCTTCAACCCCTCCACTTCTCCCTATTTACAAAGACTCTGTTTCCGTGCTTTCCTTTTCTCATATCTTTTTCTTTCCCCTACCCCTCCAGGTTCCCTTTCCCCTTTAGACATTTTCTTCCTATTTCATATTATCTATTATACATTTTGATTCTTATTTATACTTTCAGTTTCTCATACCAGAGAAACTATTTGGTGTTTACACATATATGACCTATTTATTTTACTTAAGAGTACAGCCCCCCCAAAAAAGAGTACAGCCTCATCATGCATCCATGTAGCTATAAATGTTTTTAGTTTTTTATTGTTTGTGGCTAAGTAGCACTCCATTTTGTAAAAATAAAAAACAAAAACAAAAACAAAATCTTTATCCATTCTCCAGTTGATGGGCATTTGGGTTTTAGTTACTACAAACTGCTGCTATAAAAATGGGTGTACATATATCACTGTGGTATGATTCTTTTAATTCTACCCAGCAGGTGGATAGCAGAGTCAAATGAGACCTCTAATCCTAGTTTTTTGAGATATTTCCGTATTGATTTCCACCATGATTGCACCAGTCTGCACTCCCACCAACAGTGGAGAAGGGGTCCTTTCTCCCCACAGCCCTACCAACATTTGTTGTTGGCTGTTTTCTTGATAGCAGCCATCCTTTCTGGAGTAAGGTTTAATCTTAGTGTTTTTTAAAATCTGTATCTCTTGATGGATCAGTGATGTTGAGCATTTTTCATATGTTTACTTGCTGCTTTTTCTTCTTTGAGGAAAATGTATGTTCATTTCAGTTGCCCATTTTTGAATTGGGTTTTTAAATTTGAGTGTTTTTTTTTTATAATGAAATTTTATTAGTTAAAGCCTCTTAAGACATTAAGGGCTGGGGATTTCGCTCAGTGGTGCTGCTGCTTGCCTCATAAGTGCAAGGTCCCAAGTTCGATCCCCGGTACCAAAACAAACAAACAAAGCCCCCCAATAAAATGGTTTGGACCAACATTTAATAAGAATCATAATTTAATAACTGGAAATAATCATCCCATGTAAGGACACAAGTACGTAGCCAAAGTGCATACGAATGAAGACTTGTGCTGCCACCTAACTGCCACCTCCCACCCTATTCCCCTTGAGTTTAATACCTTGAAGCTTGTCTCAGAAAGACGAGCCCCTCTACCTCTCTATTCTTCCATTTCATATAAGAACTGGCTTTGGCACCTAATCTCCAGATCTAGAAAAGGGCTAGTTTGGATAACGGACAAGCTACTCTCTCCATTCTCCTAGAAGAAGTTCAGGATTTTGATCAGTAGCATCTCATCAGGGGGCTAAGTTAGTTAACACTTCTTCTTTTAATGAGTTTTTAGATTTATATCAGTGTGTTAGAATTAGTTCATTTGCACGAGACAAAAATAGGCTGGTTCATAAACCTGCTTGGGAATAAACCCTGTATAATGGCTTCCTACCCTAAATGGTTGCATAACTTTCAACAATTTATTAATGTTTTACTTTCTCCTCAAAACACCCCTCTATTCTTATCCATAACTATTTTCTTAACTTTACTTCTTATCACTATTAACTATTTCTAATTCTGTTTCACATAGCAAATATTAATTAATAAAACAATCTCTTTGGAGTAGGATTACATCTTAACAATTCTTCTTTTTTTTTTTGTACTGGGGATCAAACTCAGGTCCTTGTGCTTGAGAGGCAGAGGCAGGTGCTGGAACCACTGAGCTAAATCCCCAGCCCTCTCTCTCTCTCTCTCTTTTTTTTTTTTTTTTTTTTTTTTTTTGAGACAGAGTCTTTCTATGTAGCTGAGACTGACCTGGAACTCACTATGTAGCCCAAGATGGTCTCGCACTCACAGTGATCCTCCTGCCTCAGCCTCCTGCGTGCTGGGATTACAGGCATGCGCCACCACGCCTGGCCCATTTTAACAATTCTTAAACACATGCAATTACAATCAAAACAAACACTGAAGCATGTCTAGTCCCAAGGTGCCATTAAGTGTGACCTTTCCAGGAATCCTGGTACAGAAGAGGCTGGCCAGATCCACATACGATGAGAGGTTAGCATCTCCCTTCTTGGACTCGTAAGGACTGTATTGGCAGCTGTTTTACAGGCTGGTTCAGTCTTCTTTCACGGTCTGGAGTAGTGTTTCCGATTTCTCCCGATGTTATTTTAATGACCTGCTTGAGTGAGTAGAGCTACTTATGTTTTCTCATAAGACCCTAAGACTTTTAACAAGCTCACTAAAGTCTATATTCTGGAGTTCTACTTGGACAGATAGCTGCCTCAGTATCTACTGTGTTTGAGGAACAACGTGTCTTTTTGTTCAGCTAAATTGATCCCTAAACAGAATTTATAGAAGACTAGTGGTCTCTCTTTGGATGTGTTTCCTGATCTTGTCCAAGTACTTAGGCTTTAAATTTTATTTTGAGACAAATTATAGATCAATTTCCTAAAGCCCGAATTCCCTGTAGGGAGTGTCTATTTTCCTTGGCTCTCCTAAGCCTTTAATTCAAGCATGGATTCCATCTTTTCAACTTTTATCGGGTCCTTCGTTATTATATTTACTCATTGTAAGAATGCTAAATTATCACTAAGTGTATAGGTTTCCTTGTTTAACTGCTCTCAGTAATCTTGGTAAATTGTTCCTTTTCGGGTGGAGGGATAAGCTGATTCTTTTGGGTTTCTCACTGTTCTATTTAGGCTACTTTGGCACAATCCTTTTGCAGTGCAAAAATTATATGCTATTTTGACTATAACTGTGTATGTATAAACTCTCATACACTGGCAAAGTAAGGTTCAGTTTGTTCAGTTATTGTTGCAGCAAATTTTCACAGTCTGCTGCCCGATATGGCTTGTAATTGCCCACAGCCGTGATTTGAGGGAATGCTTTATTTTCCCTACTTCTGCCTTTTGTTTCCCCTCCACGTCTCTTGGATCTCCATCTTCTCTTATCATTCTTTCCACACAGCTAGAAGTCTTTCATACTAATGTATTAAATATACTCTATAGGTTCTAATTTTTCTAGAGGATCTATAGTAGCTTTTCTGGATAACTATCACTTTGTTGAATTTGTGAAATCACTGGAAGTCAGTGTGCAAACTGACCCATGTTTCTCCTACTGTTGCTCATTCAAATAAGACCTAGTTACATACCCTAGATTCCTACATTTATCTTTAAAGGTAGCTCACTATCTATGGATGCAGACCCCACTTAGTATTAGATGCAACCTCTGTCATGAGGTTAGCCCTGGAATCATCTGTGTTAAACGCCATTGTAATCCTTTTGACTGTAATATGCTCTGGGACTCTATGTAAATCAGTGTCGTTTGGTTCCTGCCAGGATGGATTGCCTTGTACGTACCACTTCGTCTCAATCAATCTACACATACCACACTGCCGACAGTGTGCATGTCTTTATGTGTTTACCTAGTTTGTTAGCCGTGCCGTGAGATGCAAAGTCCTGACTCTAGGGAGCCGTCCATAATGGTCACCGGCCTGTCTGAAGGGTAGCTATTTTTCCAATTAGAAGTGAAAGGGACTCTTTGGCGTGGAATTAGTATAATCAGTGAATTTCCTTCACATTTGTTCCCTCTCTGTTTTGATATGGGAGTCCTTCAACTACTGCATTTTCCCCTTCTGGTGTGTGAATTATCATGCTAAAAACCAGTCCATGTTTTGTTTATATTCACTACTGATCTTACCTCTCAGAAAAAAAAAATAGATAGATAGATAGATAGATAGGTTGAAGCTGTAGCAGGTTCACTGTAGCAAGTCTATCGAGTATTTGTTTTAAATTCAGTTACATGCAAAAAGATGCACTCTGTCTGCTCTCCTTTGTGGACCATGATCTCCAGGCTTCTGTCATGGGTGTGCCTCTTCCACTGGTGAATAGTCTCGGTAGGGCTTTGTCTAGGCATCTAGTACTTCTCTTTTGTTATTTGGTGTAATGTGCCACTTCCATTTGGGAAACAATACTGCAAAGTAGTTTCAATGTGGTTCAGCATTTGTGGGAACAGTCCTACATTGGCACCTCTTAGCCCCAGCTTTTTCAAAAGTTTCTCCTTTGCAACATTCTCTTCTGTACTTTTATTATCTGGTAGATGCCACTCTTTCAGAATCATCCTCCTTAGTCTGCTACGACATCCTGTTTGACAAATCTTCTCTTAAAGATCCAGTAAGGGATTATATGTTTTCAAGTACAAGTACCCTAGTATTGTCCTGTTAATGTGAAGATAGTCACTGTAATATCATCTGGGGCTTATTCCCCTTTTAATTTGCTTTTCATTTTAGAACAGTGAAATTGGGTCCCAAGATGTGAGAGGTCCCAGGGTTTCAGTCCATCGTTAAGTTGAAAGAGATTCTTTTCTTTGCTATTATTTGTGCCTATCATCAGAAATCCTAACAGAAGAACAGGAGAAAAAGTGAAGGAAAAACCACATTGCTGAAGCCAGAGCTTTCTGAATAACAACAAACAAACGAAAAAACAAAACAACAATCTTTGCTGGGAGGGAAATGAATTGTACTTGTTGTGAAAGTTTTAACAATGAAATGTATAGCTAATGTCCAGAAAAACTAGAATATGTTTGAAATAGAAATGATCAGTTTTCACATGTTGGTGAGGTAAAACTGGGACTTATTCCCTTCTTGAATTATTGTTGAAACTAGGCAATAAATCCTCATTTATAGCACCTATATCTAACAAAGCTTGATCTATGTCAGGGACCAGGTCTTCATTTTGTCTTAGTGAAAGTATTGATTCTATGTCAGAGAAATTAGCAAGGTCTGGTAGTGGGGCTTCCTTTGGGGGAGCCCCATCTGCTTCTACCTGTTCTACTGTTTTATTCTGCTCTAAATGAGGAATTTGCTGTTCTTGTGAAATAAAGTGTAGAATCTCTTCAGCAATTCTTATTAACTGGGCTACACAACCAGTAAGTCCACCCACCAGTACAGGAACTGACACAGGCTCCATGCTTTCATTCTCTCAGATGAAGTATTTCTAGAGGCCGTAGCAAAGGAGCTCTTGACAATGGACCCTGGGAGATCAGCAATGGTTCTTTGGCTGATTTAGATGAGAAGTGAAGATGCTGACATAAACATGAGGGTGATCAGGCATGGAAGGCCAGAACTGTTTGATGGTATGGATGAACCTCTCGCAAAATATACACATAGAGTACTTTACATAGGCTATCAGTATATCTTTGTACCTTTTTTCTACCGATAACAAATATTAATTTTTAAGTAAATTTTATCAGAACTATACTTAAATACATGGATAATAAATCATTAATGTCATTCAGTATCTGGTACATATTACAAATTCTCCAACTGTCTCAAAGATGATATTTGTTTATCTCAAATCACACAAATCACAAACATTCCACACATCACTGCGCTGTTTTATTATACCAAAGTGTACGTTGTATTGTAGAAAATATGCATTGTGTATGTGTATGGGGGGATGTTTTTACACATATGTGTGCACTAACGAGAAACATGCTCATGAATGTGGTAGGATTTTGCACATTTCACATATCGATAGTTTCTGTGGCAATCTTATGATTACTCTAAATTAGATGCTTGATTTAATTCATAGTCATTTGGGAAGAATATTACATATGTATTGGTGTTAAATTATATCCATATGCTTATAAAAATATAATAAAAATAAGTATGGGATATAATAAAAAAGAAACAGAAAAGTCTGATCTTAAAAATGTGAACTCTTTTAGTTGTTTTTGGATTTCAAATATAAGTATATTTCTTTTCTGTGGGAAGTTTTCTTAGAAAATGTAAGTGATAGAATCAACAAGCATATGATATTTATCAAATTAATAAAACCAAGGAGCTTATAAATCATAAAATTTTGAGGACAGTTTCTCAAGTATAATATGTCATTTTGTTTTATTTGTAAATATAATATTTCAAAATATATGAAAAGAAAATGAGAACATATAATGTTTGAAGATCATATCAAACTAATAATGTATTTGCATTATCAGTCTGTGTTGCATAAATGTTTGTTTATTTCATATCCTTTTTTTGCTGTCATATATATGTATATTTGAAATTTTTATTTAGTATCTTCATTTCTTGTTGTCATGTATGTTTTTAATCTTTAATAAAAAACAAAAAAACAGTACGCTTGTACTAGTGGTAAACTGCTATTATCACGACCATCGGACTGTCACAGCCAAGAGAAAACAGCAAAGCAGACCTGTGATAGGTAGAGCCAAGACGGATGAGAAGGTCAAGGCTATGCCTGTAAAATGGTATCTTTTCTTCTGCTAGCAAATAGAGTGGGAACACTCCTGCCACAAGTGAAATGAGTTGAGTTTTAGGCAGGTACCTGGACAAGAGAGGCAGAATGAAATCTGTATAATCTTCTGGAACTTAAAGCCAACTTCACACTTGGCACAGGCAATGAAGGCGTGTAGAACTCAGTTGGTGCGAGTCATCTCTGGGTCCCAATTCCTAACAGCCTGAGACCCGAGCAACAGGCAGCCAGGGGTGCTGCCATAATAGGCCAAATGGGCCTGTTTTATTTTAAGTTCTTATTTGTTTGTTTATGTATGTATTTATTTATTTACTGGCCCCAGGGATCGAACTTGAAATGTTGTGCTTGTGAGGAAGGTGGTGGAACCACTGAGCTTTTCCTATTCCAGTATCTTCAAGAGTTTTACCTAACCTATCTTCCAGCAAGTTTAGTGTTTCAGTTTTAAAATTTGGATCTTCGATCCACTTTGATTTTTGTTCAGTTCATGGTGAAAGATATGCATCTACTTTTAGTCTTTGGCAGTTGAAATCCAGTTTTTCTAGCACCATTTATTAAAGATTGCCTCTATTTTTGAACTGCTTTGACTTAGGGAACTCATGTCACCTCTGCACGTCTCTATTTTTTAAATTTGTAAAAAGTGAGGTAATTATATCTTTTTCCTAATCCTCCAGGATAATTACCAATCAGGATGTGGCCAATAATGCATTGAATTCTAAACTAAGAAAGCTCTGATACTTTTTTTTTTTAGGCTTGGATTTTCCTTTTGTTAAGAATTGGTGTCTCTCCTTACATCTCACAGACAGCAGTGTAGCACAGATATGTCCTGTCTTGTTCCTGGTATCTTCCCTCTCTCCAAAACATTATCAGTGACTTCACCAAGAGCAAAACAGTTTGGGAGGTTGGTTTTGTCAGTTAACTTGTACTCCCTCTGCTGGTTGGATGGCTTGTATTCCCCCCCGACTCCAGGACTCCTGGGTTCTAAGGTTTACTTATTTATTTGCTTGTTTTCAGTAAAGTCAAGAAATTATGTAAATTTTTTGAACAGTGATCAACTTAGAATGAATTTGTGATATCATGTAATTTTCCATATCTAAGAGATTTGGAGATCTGTGATATCAAGGATTAACAACTAAATCCAATACTAATTTTCTGATGAGAGCAACAAGCAAATGGAAATAAATACTTATTTGGGTTTGGATATCAACCACCGCCTTTAAAATACTGTAGGACTCTCAGGGTACCTGGAAGGATTCTGATAAAAGCAGCCAACCATCAAGTACATGCAAATTCATGAGTTTATAATAATATGTAAAAATAAAACAAAATTTAAAAACACCTCATCAGTCATTTTTGGAAAATGATAGAAAATGAATTCATTACTTTAAAAACTGATAAAGGGAAAGAATCAAATGATTTTGGAGTCTTCTTTGTATGAACTATACACTAGACAATGTAGACAAAAGAGTATTTCTTTATAAAAGTATTCTAGCCAATGAACGTAAAAAATGATAGAATGTTACTATTTTGCAATCCCTAAGTGATTAGTAGTTCAGGACATCAAGCATTAAAAAGTATAAACATTGCATCAAGAGTGATATCACTTCCCGATAGACTGGCCAAATACTAATTTTCTTTATGGGAGTTGTGAAGAAATAGTAGGTACCACTTATTGAGCAGCTACTGTATTCCAGGCAGTATATATACATTATTCCTATCCCACAAAGGACATATTTCTATAATGGAGTGTCATTGCTCCCTCTTTCAGTTCTCTAACCCCTTTACATTTTTTATTTTTTAGACAGGGTCTCTCAAGTCATGGAATTGCTCAGGCTGTGAATATCTTGTTATCTTCCTGCCCCAGCTTTGTAGAGTGAGGGGACTGCAGGCTTGCACCACTGAACACAACTTCATTGTTCTCATTTTATAGGTGAGTAAATTGAGGTGTGAAGAGTGAATGATTTGCTCAAAGTCACCTTGATCGCTATTTGTGAAAACAAAACTGAACCCATGTACTACTGGGTTTGTTCTCTTCTTTCTCTTTACGATGTGATGATTAACTATTAACCTGTAACATAGCAGTTTTCATTATATAATTAAAGCATCATTTTCTAAATTAATCTCCAGATGAAGTGCAGCTTTGGACTGGAGTTCTAGTGTGAGTTCTGAGGTTTACTGTGGATAAAGGTGTTTTGAGTTTAGCTGTCCTTGGCAAGAGTATAGCGCAAACAGGTGAAACAGTACTTAAACATTAAAAAGTAAAGCCAAGTTTAGGGAAAACTTTCTAAGTATTCTGTCCACTGATATTCTACCTCTGGATCTGCTTGTCTGGCGTTTGTCTCATTTTACTCATATTTTGTTTTTCTCTTACTACAAGGACATGGAAGCTTGATGAGATTAACAATGCATTGGAAAAATGGAAACACAGTCTTTGTAGATAGGGAGGGATGGAGGGGTTGAAGGGAGGGCAGGGAAATGGGAAAAATAAAGAACCAAGATGAATTATGTAAAGGTGCAAATTTCCAATGATTAATGTCATTATATTGTATGCCTTAAATGTACCAATAAAATTAATTAATAACAATAACAACACCAACAATGCAAGACATTTTCACTTTCTTGGTAAATCAGTAGAAAATGACTTTTTATTGGGATTAGTAGGTATTGATAAAAAACTGGGACACTAAAGAGAATTGACCCCATGTTATGCTTGATCACTCACCACTTTTATATTTGAACACATAAGAGAAAAAAATCAAATCAAATCAAAATAAAAGAGAACATGTACATTTTATTATAAAATTGTTATTTCTATATGTGACCTAAACTTCACCTGGAAGAAGCTCACTTAATGATGGAAAATTTTATTGTTTGAGGATTACATAAATCTAATTTATTTACTGCACAGAAAGAGACATGCATATACAAGGCAGTGTAAGAACCTGCCTGAATTTATTGTTTAGTAGCAATCTTTTAAGAAAAAATTGTATTTAATTAAAAACTTCACTTCATACTTTCTTTCATTTTACCATAGGATCTTTGCTCTCTTTTAACTTTTCGTGGGAGCATGTGGAGATTTGTTCCCTAGATCACTTAAGTATTAACGTATTGGCAGTCTTTTAAAGCTAATCTGCCACAAATCCTGCAGAAGAATTAACACAGATTATTTTTGCATGAATTTACCTTCATTAAGCTATGTATTTTTCATGTCTATTAAAACATAGATATTGCTGATCATTTTAAAAGAATGCACATACACATTAACCAGAATTTAATCAGTGGTATTCTTAATGTCTAGAAAGGAAAAGGTTTTAATCCTTCAATATCTGGAAATGAGTTTTAAACTATTTAACTATTTTTGCTTTTTTACAAAATTGTTGTTAAGAGTTTTTTTTTTTTTTTTTT